TATATAATACTGTACCTGTACTGTTTAATGCTGCACAACAAACAAACAAAAATGAATCTTTTGCAAAGAATTTATCTGTTGTTGAGAAAAAAATGTGTCCAACAAGCGCTACAGGATCAGAGCTCTCTCTATTACCACCTCTACCAAAAAATAAATCAACAAAGCTCTGCATAATGAGCAGCCTACGAAAAACAAACCCGTTCCTTTTTCTTCACAGCCCAGTGAAAAGAAAAGAAAAACACAAGAAGTGAAATGCAGCGTTATTGCTGAAATAAGCACAAATGCAGTTTTATTCTGTCACATTTCTCAGTATTTTTATAAAAGCTCGATGAGGTGCAGCCGAGGAGCAACTTACTGCAGCCATTTATTTAAGTGTAAAGTCAATGACTAATCAGAAAAAAGGTAAATTTGTGAACCATCATCCAGTCGTTCTTACACAGCGTAGAACCAAACAGGATTAAATCAAAGTTGTGTCTTCAAAAACAACTCTGGAATTGAAACGGTTTTCGTTTTTGTTCGACACTGATGCTGAAAATGAATCAGTATTTTTAAAACGAAGGCACGTTTTCACTTCATTGATTGTGTATCATTACATCACTGTTGCATTATTGGCTCCAGTCACTGATCAGCTGGACTAAACCGAACTACAGCTTTTCAAAACAGGCTGCGGCAGCAGCAGCAGCAGCAGCAACAGAATCTGACTTCATTCAGTTTAAAAGTTTGAAAGCATGCCAGCGGTTCCAGTGATCACAAAACACAACGGTGGTTTTTACGCTGGTGCAAACTTCGGACCACAGCAGCACCAGAGCCTCCAGACAGGAAACACACACACTGTTAATTCGCTGTGCAGAATTAGCTTTTCTTCATATTGTCATGTGGAGCAGCCATAGATTTATTCTCTCGCTGTGCTGCTCCTCACTGCCGTAATCACACCGACCGATCGAAGGGCTGCGACGCTAAAAGGCTTCCTGGGATCAGACAGACAGACAGACAGACAGACAGACAGACAGACTGACAGACTGACAGACTGACTGACAGACGGACAGACAGACTGATGGACTGATGGACTCTGGGCCTCCTCCTCACAGCCAGCCGTTGGAGGAGAAGTCCCGCCTCAGCCGCTGAGCCTCGGCCTCCGTGAGCGGCTGCAGAGGTGATCGACAGGCGCCGCCATGGAAACCAAACCACTCCATCGCCTGCTTGAGCGCGGGAACTCCCAAATTCCTGGTCACCTAGCAACACAGAGGTCCAATCAATCTCCTGCATCCCCCCCAACACACAAACCGCACCGTGGTTTTAAAGCTTTATGAATAACAACAGTTAAATTTGTGTGTGATTAATAACATCGGCTGCCGGACTACATCTGCGCGACTTCACTCTGGCCTGATGCAGCGCGTGCGTAGGCGGCGCTGTGGCAGATTGATGCCGGTAGGGCAGTGACATTTAACACACCTTAACGGACACGTTTGTAGCCCGAAGCTCACTCGCAGCAACTCACTCGGGCTCAGAACAACTCCGAGCTACGTGCAGCACACAGCCCTGACATTTAACTCCGAGGTGTCGCTGAGCACAAACCCTCGCTGTCTGCTGAGGCTCCGTAGCGCAGAAGCGAACGCAGGGCTCGATACAAAAATGCACTTTTTTAACTTGAAGAAAACTTTCTTTTTTTTTTTCTTAGTTTGCTCTTTCCAGGATTTACAGGATTCAAGCTGAAACTATTTTCTACTAAAGAATGAATCTACCAAGCCTCTACTGAGAAAACTGAATGAAGTTGCAGTAAATGATTTAAAATTAACTTAAATAAAAGCAGGGACGCTGGTTTTAGGAAACATTTACATTCATCAGAGCAAGTTTCATTTTTGCATGGATCACAAATAAAATAGCACATGCTTAAGGGAGGGAAGGCTTTTGTTTGAGTTCATCATCTTTATTCTTTTCATTCTTTATTAGGGTCCGAGCACACCAGAGAAACCCTTGTGATTGCTATTATTCTGGTACGCAATCTCTGAACGTGTGTTTGAGGACCTAAACGCACATCAGGACTGGCAGAAATCGGAAACTATCAGAGACGTGGACATGTCGCTGCCAAAGTGGCTCCACAGCGCCACCTTGAAAAGTTCAAAATTTCAAATTTCAGTCCCATCGGAAGCACGTTTGGCCTCGAGCTACGCAGGTTCATGGGCACGAACAAAAAAGTCGACCAGCGCTGAGCTCTAAAATGCAACACGGCTCAACTCCGCCCCCTACAATATTTCAACAGAGTCCCACTGCGGCTACGTTTCAGCTACAACTACGAAATTTGGTCCACATGTGTAACAGGTTGTGCTGCACAAAAAAGTCCATTAGCACATTTCTGTAAACCCAACAGGAAATCCGCTATGTTGGAAAAACAGCGAGCATGCCGAGCCATTTTCGCTCAAAAATGGCCATTTTCGCTCAAAAATGGCCATTTTCAAATCTATCTCCTCCGAGGGGTTTTGAATGAAAAATATTTTATCAATAAAAAAATAACTTTATTTTGAAAATACTTTACGTCATACACACCTGACATTTGTCCAGCACAAACTACAGGAGGTGGTGATTAAAAGTTATTAAAACACTCTGACGGCGTGGAAATGGCCTGTGTGTGCTCCGACTGGCCCGAAACTTTACACGTGTACTCTGAGCCATAGTGCTTTGCCAGCACACTACGCCATGCACGCCGCCGTAGCTCGCCTAAACAGGAAGTGACTCATAACTAGGCCGCAATTGCTCTAATCTGCCGAAAAACTCGAGTCCCGTCCAGCGCACACCCCGACATGCGCAAAGACCGATAATCGTACGACGAGGACCCGTCCATCGCCGCTTGTGGCTTATATTGAAATCTCCTCTGTTTTATTTTTTGCTCTTTATTTCGTTCTTTGTTCTATGTTGCACTGAAGGAGCTGCTCTTAATCTCATTGTACATGTGTACAGTGACAATAAAGGCATTCTATTCTATTCTAGTTAATTCCTTATCAGGATCCCCATTAGCTCCCACAAAGTGCTTGCTGGTCTTTGTGGGGTAAAAATAAAAACTACAATTTACAAAACATTAAAAATACATAATAAACAGCAAACATTTCATTTGTAATGCAACCCGGTACAAAGCGGTACCTGGATAACAACACTGTAAATATAACACTGATGCCACTTGTCTCTTTATTTTCCTCCTAAAAGAGCTGAAATTTTTAGTGTCTCTGATCTGTATAGAAAGTGAGCTCCATGCTTTTGCTCCTCTGTAAACAATACTTCTTTTCATGAAGTCGGTTTTGGGCCGGGGGACGACCAAAGTACTCGAGGTCACTCAGCGAGTCGCATAATTGTGACCCTGAATGAGAGTTTCTCGGTTCAAAATCTCTCTTTGCCAAAACTTTCTGCGTGAACATCAGAAGACTGGCCTCTACTGTTAACCAGGACGGCTTCTTGTGCATCTCACGGACATTTGTTTGAAAAGAATCATCAGAATAAATCTGGGTTTCTTTCTGGGCCCACTAAGTTCTGCTGCGGTGGTGAGTGACAGTGTTTCAGGCTTCTGAAGGAATGTGACTAAACCTCCAGTCTGGCACCGTTTGTGTGGAGTCTGAGGATCGGTTGTTTCGTGGCGCCGTGGATGAAAGCGTGCGGCAGATGGTACTCACGGCGGCGTTGGGCTCGATGAGGCGCTGCTGCAGGACTCTGGCTTCCTCCCAACGCCCGGACAAGCACAGACGCTCCAACTCACAGAGCTGTGGGCCCAGAACGTTGGCCAGCGCACACACTCCACCGACAGCACCTACAGACAAGAGAGGGTTCAAGAAGCAACGATGAGACGGAAATATTTTTAAAATCACAACTGTTTTGTGTGCGTATAATGGAGTATGTGTAGACAAATGGTGCTGCAGGAATGTTTAATGTGGGGGACGTGCATGTCAGAAGAGTTTTTGTTAAATATAATCATTTTTTTTTAGCTCAAACATAAAAAAAGTTGCCTTATATTTTGAGAATTCGTCGTCTTGTTGTCAACACTGTCTCCGTGGTTACCAAACAGATGCATTTTGGCGATGACATCTTACAGCTTTTAAAAAATTGCTCATCGGTTTACTTTCAGCACATTCGTTGAAATTTGAGGCTAAATTTGAATAAAAATGTGACATCACGTCTCTGAGGATGATGGGATATTTCTGATTTCATTCTGATGCCTTCACATATATTTATTATTAATAATCTGATGTACTTATGTGAACAAGACTTAAGTGACAAATTTATTCTTAGAATCAACTTTGCTTTTTTATAGTTGGAGAATTTTTTCTGAAACTCCAGATCTCACTTTGATGAGACGATCCAGCGATGTTCTTGTTTATGTGTTCCAGCCCGTCATACCATCAGCTATGAATTTTTGCGACCAAGTTTTTCACATTAAAAGCTATTCTGTTCTGTTTTCTATTATTGTGACATGCAAATAATTGTGGTTCTGAAAATATCCCGAGCGCATTCTGCAGCATCAGTTGTTGAGCTCAAAGGTGGGACTTTTTAAATCTACAATTACAGACGCAAACGTAGTCGAGCTAAAGGTCAACCCTCATTGGTGTTTTCTCCCAGGATTCAAAGCCTGCACCACCTACTGTCACTCTGGACTTTATTTCTTATACAGAGTGCCAAGATTCACCGGAGTCAAATTCCTTGTCTGCGTGTATAAACGTTGCCAATAAAGTTAATCCTGATTTGATTTGAAATGACTGGTCTGAGTAAAAAGACCTGTGATTGACTGAAATCTCCCGTCACAGGTTACATTTCCTAAAGCCTGAAAATAAAGCCAGGAGGAGGTGCAGAAGTCCAGTTTCCTTTCAGATTACCCATCAAGCAAATCGACAATCTGATTCTTAACAATCCTAAACCTGCTATCCGACAGGTTTTCAGGAAAAACCAACAGAACCCATAAAAACAGCCTTAACATAGCGACAGCCTTGGATTGTGACTCCGACATGACATTTAATGTCACCAATCAGGATGACGGCGTATTATCTGACTGAACAATCCCACAGATTGGCTACGTTCACACTGCAGG